CTAAGGACAATCTGGTTTGCTTTATGAAATAAAAGTCTATAACATTTGAAAGTGTCTTTTCTCATAAAATGGGAAAACATTTATAATTGCAGTCACAGTAAATTTTTAAAAGGCTAAAATAATAGATGACAAAAATACTGTAACAAAGTGAACTACATTTTTATGAATAAGTATTTTAGAGCTATATATTAAAATATTGTTGAAGATACAAAGAAACAAGTGTTGAATGGATTACACTGTGTAGAAGGTTTACTACCCAGCTGAACAATGGCATAGCTGTTTCTAACCTGGCTCAGCATATGCATATTTGTGTCATTCTTTTTAAATAGTGAAACAGAGAAACGTGTAGCTCTGTGCTAATGGTTGTTGTTAAACATCAAAGGGAAGAGGTGCCAGGGAAAAATAAGTTCTCAACCATTTTTACCATTTTTATTTTTAAAAATAAAAGCAACCTTCTATGAGTGCTATGTTTAAATAATCAGCAATGAGATGGGAACATTCACAACAAATATTTAAGACAATAGCAAAGGAAAAGTATAGAGTAGCATATTTGAAATTCATTAAGTCACTGCCTCACTATTAAGAGAAAGAACTTGAACCCATGATCATATAAGATTCCAAGACATCACTGACACACTTAATTAAAAGTAAAATTAAATAATTTTCAAAAAGGCATTTAAAAAACAACTAAACCATAGTAGAATCTATATAATAGTTCTTCATGAGGTAGAGCCTGACCAGGCACAGCTTTTCTCATAGAGGTCTTTAGGTATCTTGTGGCAATGACCTAAAAATTAATCTATACATATTCTTTATAAAAATATAAGTGATCACACTTTGCTAACCTTTGCTGTGACTGTACAGGCTATCGATAGAATGTTATATAGAAAACATTTTCATGAAGAATATCTTCACTTGACTTGTTCCTCAAAGAAAAAGTGGCATATTTTAAATGATTGAGAAAAAAAATTTCCAAAGGATCTCAGACATATGAAAAGGTGCCTAATTTTGATCAAAATAAGGAAAAAGACTATGGGGAAATTTCATTTCTCAAATATATGATTAGAAAAAAAATCTGAAAGCTTAATAATTGCAGTCAGGAAAGAGTAGAGTACACCCACTGAGAAGGCAATTTGGAAACAATAAAATGAATCTGCTAGTTCCCTTTGATATGGTTACCCCTTTTCTAGAGAATCTGTCTCAATGGTAGTCTCACAATAAGAAAATATGTGCCCACACAAGGCTACTAGTTGTAGCAGTATTTATAATAAAAATGAAAACTAAGCGTTCAACAATAAGGGTGAAGTAAAAGACAGGCGCACAATGGAATTCAATGATGCTGTATTTTGAGCAATGGAGAAAAGATCTATATACTACTTAGGAACTATGTCTAGGATATAACACATACAATACCTTGAAAAATGTGAGGTAACTAAAAATGTGCAGGAATAATTATCTTGCTATCACTCAGTAATAGGATTCTTTTTTTTTTTTGGCCAAGGGAGAAAGTAGCATCAGTTGTAACATTGGTGACTTCAAGTGCATTCCATAAACATGAATTTGAACTGAAAACGTCCCTAGAACTAACACTGTAACTTGTGAATTATAAGAATATATGTCTCTTAACTTTTTCAACTAGGTTAGAGAGAGTGGCCAACCTGTCTCTGCAATCAGCATACCAGGTAGCTGCCAAGAATGTGATCTCCAAATGCTGCTCCTGCTGGCGGGAACCAGAGCTCCTGAAGAAGTGGCCATTTCAGGTCATCGCTCAAGCTACAGTAAACCTACAGTGTCCTGTTCCACTACAGTGCCTGGTTAATGAATGCAAGGGAGCTCATTGTCATGTTTTTCTTTACTTTTGTGAGTTTGAAATGTTCTATAAAAAAGGTCAACATTCTAAAAATGGGTCAGGAATGAGCTGATTATTAAAAACATCTTGAGCATGAAGAGAAGATGCCATTGAACATGTTTAGAAATGTTTCTGTAGTCCAGTTTCATAAAGGAAAAGATTTACCAAAACAAAATTATCTCGCTAAAACATTGAAAAACAGGATTTTCTAATCTGCAAATGATTGCTTCTCTGCATTTTGAAAGATTTTGTTGAAAATATGAAAGCACACCTTTCAATGAGTTTTCCTTAATATATTGACATACACACTCTGTGTAACTTAATGAAAATCATTGCATTATTGGTAGATAATATTGGAAAAATGAGTATTATGACTTGTTGACAATGCAATTAGCCTTGTCTATTTGGATCTGTGTGTCATTTTGAGTTTTGAGATAATCACACACACGCACACACACACACACACGCACACGCACACGCACACACACACACACATACACACACACACATACACACACACATACACACACATACACACACACACATACACACACATACACACACATACACACACACACATACACACACACACATACACACACACACATACACACATACACACACACATACACACACATACACACACACACACACATACACACACACACATACACACACACACACATACACACATACACACACATACACACACACGCATACACATACATACATACACACACACACATACACACATACACACACACATACACACACACACATACACACACACACATTAGCTAAGATTCATGTTAAAACTCAGCATTGAACTTAAAATTTGACCACTGAATCATGTAGCTTTAAACTATAATTTTCAAATTTTATGGAGTGTATTTAATTATATTACAAGTCATTTAAATATACATGTAGCAAAGTAGGAACTCCTATTATACTCTAGATGCAAAAATTAACTCAAAATGGATGAATGATTTAATATAAGAATAACAGTATAAGAGGTAAATCTATTAGAGGAAACCATACATGTAAATCTTCATGATCTCAGATATGATGATGAATTTTTATGTTTGACATCAAAAATAACAAAAGAAAAATAGATAAATTGGACTTCAAACTTTTTTTTTAAAAGTTTTGTTTTGGAGAAAAGGTTAGATCAAAAGAATTAACCTAGAAGGTAACACACACACACAGGAAATTAATGTGAGTCAACTCCCTGTATAGCTATCCTTATCTCAACCAGCAAAACCCTTGTTCCTTCCTATTATTGCTTATACTCTCTCTACAACAAAATTAGAGATAAGGGCAAAATAGTTTCTGCTGGGTATTGGGGGGGGGAGCGGGAGGGGGTGGAGTGGGTGGTAAGGGAGGGGGTGGGGGCAGGGGGGAGAAATGACCCAAGCCTTCTATGCATATATGAATAATAAAATAATAATAATAAAAAAGAAAATAATAGAGAAATGCTAAATAATTCATTGCACATGTATGCAATGCATGTTGTCATTAAAATGGACAGAAACTCTTATATCCTGCAGATGGGAGAATAAACTGATGCATAAAAACTGATCTATAAAAAAAAAAATAATAAACTGATCTATAAAAAAAAAAAAAGAAATGTGAATATGTAGTACTAGATTTGTCATGGGTTTTCCTTAATGTCTCTTCATTTGAAATAAAAATCTGTGTTAATTGCTTAAAAAAAAACCAAAAAAAAACCCCAAAAGTTTTGTTCAATTAACATTCTTAGCAAAGTGAAAAGTCAACCTATAGAATGGGAGAAATATTTTCAAATCATAAAACTGATATGGATCTAACATCAAGAATATGTAAAGAATTCTTATAGCTCAACAAGAAAAAGACAAATCACCATATTTAGAAAGGAACAAAGAACTTGAGTAGACATTCTTATAAAGAAGATATACAAATGACAAACAAGCACATGAGAAGATACTAAACATCTTTGTCATGAAAGAAATGGAATCAAAATCACTGTAAGATACCACTTCATACTCATTAGGATGACTTGTTTTTTTTCTAAACACAAAACAAGTTTTGGTATGGATGTGGATCAATGGGAACACTCATACATTGCTGTTGGCAATATAAAATGGTATGGGAACTGTGGAAAATGGTAGGCAGTTCCTAAATATTTAAACACAGAATTTGGCCTCTAGGTATTTATCCAAGATAAATGAAAACATATATTCACACAGAAACTTGTTCATGAATGTCATAGTAGCATTATCTGTAATGCCCCCAATGTGGAAACCATACAAATGCCCATCAGTAGATCAATAGATAAACAAGTCAAGGTATTGCCATACAATGGAATCCTATTCAGCCTTAAAAGGAGCAAAGACCTGACACATTGCCACAACATGGCTGACCACAAAAAACATGATAAACGAAATAAGGCTGACAAAAGTCACATACTATATGATTCCTATTTTAGAAAACAACCAGAATTGGCAAACAAAACAAAAGACAAATTAGTTATAGTCAGGGCCTGGGGCATGGGTTAAGGGGGGTGATCCCTTCATGGATATGAGGTGATGAGGAAGTGTTAGACTGCAGGGAGGTGGCAGGTGTACAACATGAATGCACCAAATACTACTAAGCTGTATAGTTTAAAATGGCTAATTGTATGTCATATGAATGTCACCTCGATTAAAAATGATATGTGTGATAACAGGATGCTTGATCAGGGTGCTTGTTAATGTTGACGACAATATCTTAAATACTAAAGAGTTCAGATTAACTCTTTTCATTCATGCTCTTTCATGAATACTGGATATGTGTTCAACACTTTCAGTGATGAGGTATACTATTTAAGCATTTGAGTAATACTGCTCTGCAGCCAGAGTAACAGATCTAGAAGGTATAGGCTCAGATATACTTTGTGCCTTGGCTCAAAAATATTTCAAATATAATTGTAATGCCTTTATAAAAGCTGTGCATTTTCTAATTCAATACAATTACCTGGAATTTTATATCTTATGTGATCCAACCATTAATGTTTCTTACTCAGCAGCCAAATTAACATTTTTGATCTCTTCTATATTTAAAATAGTTGTACAACAGTAGTTCTTCTATTCTTGATTATTATTAGAAATAAGGAAAAACAAGGACCTAGACTTACCCACACAAGGCAGGGAATAGCCTAGCTGAGCATCATGGACAAACTGCCGGTCGTTGAGTCTTGTCACACAGTACAAATGAAAGCAGTCTAAGCAAATCACATGACGGTGGTTGCACTGGAAAACCAGGACAGGGCTCCTGCACAGACAGAGGAAGATGTTTGCTGTAGGATCTGGAGATGAAAAGGCAGCATGTGCTTTCAAATGACTTCTGTCATCCTGGAGGACTGCTTGAGCAAACTGTGCCAAGACTTGGGTTGCCATATTATAGGCTCATCTCTACCAAGGCTTTACCTTAAACACTGAGGCACTGGATGAACTAGAGAGGACATTGATGTCCTACTTTTATATTTATCAACCTGTTGTTTAAATCTGAGGTTAAATATAAGCTCTTTCTAGAAGTCTTCCCTGATACATAACTCCCAATTAACCTATTAAATCATCCTTCCACTTGATTTCTACTGATTGATGATTACACCATAATATTGATGTGTTTCTCTTCTCTGATTGACTGTGATCTCCTTGAAAGTAGATACTGTGTCAGCATTACATCAATATTCCCATAGTACTAGGCATGGTAAAGTTTTCAGTCAATGTCCCTTGTATTTAATTATAATGACATATAAAATATGAACTTCCCCAAAGTCAAAGGAAAACCACAACTGCACCTAAGTAGGTAGGTTCAACTGTCACTCATATTTCACTGGCAAACAGAGAAGTAGAACTTAGAAATAAGGGATAAGCCAACTGGGATTTCTCTATTTTACCATTCTGTTTGTTCTGTTACCTCCACCCTATGCAGATTTTCTATTTTTCAAATTATGGTTAGAGGACTACTAATAAATCAACACATACAAATCCTAAAAATGTTGGATTCTCTTCAAATGCTTTATAGGAAAACAAATTTGAAAAACCATTTACTTTTGCAGGCAAATGCACCGCGTGTGTATGTCAAATTCAATATATTAATTAGAGATCAGTCCCAAGGCAATTTTAATAGTGAAAGTTATTGGAGTTAATTTAGTTAAGCCTATTCCCTATGTAATGACAACAAAATACAAAATAAGCATGTTTATTTTATACCCAAATTCTTAGCAACTGTAAGAGCTCTTCCAAAGCTCTTTCCCTAGAAAAATTAATATTAAATATTAATATCATAGAAGATAATTTCTTAATAACGACAACATTTTCAAAATTCTGGTATGCCATTTATTTCAAGGCAATATGTAATACTAAACAAAGTGGAGAAAACATCCTTTAGCCATGGTTAACTTAATCCCAGCGAATCCCTAATGTGTTCGCGTGTCTGTGTGCTGTCCTTTCTATGAACCTAGCACAGGCCTCACAGGGCCGTCCTTCCCACTGCCAGAGCCTCAGTTAATTAGGCATTGACTGCTCTGAACTTCAGCGATGCTCCCTTCTAGCAACTTTCCCTTTGAAGAGGATAAAATATAACACGCTTTCCTGTCTCTAACTGGAGTTACCCCACACATGTGCACACCATACTCCATTCACTCTGTGACCTGTGTAGCGACTACACCTCACCTTCTTCTCTCATTACCAGGGTACATGAAAGACCTTCTCCACTCTGCCTTTGGCAGTGTTGCAGACTAAGCCTGATAGACCCTGAATCTGCACCAACAAGGGAGATTCTGGAGAAACCACCAGAACATTTGTAAAAAATGCTCCTACATAGAACAAACCTATAAAGGAAGCTTAGCGATGGCCAGGAGAGGAAATCAAAAGAAAACTTATTACATCAAAGCAGTCTGCCACAAGATCATTGCTGCTCCAAAGATCTTAATGTGTGGTATGCACCCATGGGTCCAGCATGTGGGTCCTTTTCCTTCACTGTTAGAAGGAAGACTAGGAAGAATTCTCCCACATTTGGGAAGGACAACATCTGTGGTTTTTCCTTCAGTTACAACGTTGTGCAAAAGGACAGACACATTCTATGCAATCGGTAGAACCATAAATTGTTACTCTTTATTAATGACATCATTGACATTATTTGAAATAGATTAGAAAGAACTGGCAGATTCATTGGAGGTTATCATGTGAGAAAAATCTGACCCAGATCCAGGGGCTCACCAGATCAGGGAATATTTTAGAAGTGTAAGGAGAGAGGCACGGAAGGACACAGCCAGCAAAGTAAAGGACCTAGCAGTCCATTCAGCACTGAGAAGGGAACATGAGACAATGGCAGGCTGTGAGTCCAGAAGCTTGGCTCCTACATGATGAGGCACACCCTCCTAGGGACACAGGAGGAGCCCTGTTCAACACTGAACAGCTCAGGGCTGCTTCACCCTCCTTGAACTAAGATGGAGATAGGAAGGGAAATTTACTGAACTGGTCAGGGTAACAGAAAGAGAACAAGTCATGGCCTACATGGGGGCTGGGAAGAACCCAGCATCTGCTGGCCCATGGGAACATCTAATGGTGCTTTCCTCTCCACTGTTAATGGGAAATAGACTAGGGCAGCAGTTAGGACGCAAGAGCACAGTGTCTAGGACTTGAGACTCCATTAGGAAGTACTTATTTCAGTAGCTGACATCAATAACTCTTACTAAATACAAAATACAAGACTTCTGCCAGGACTTTAGAGAAATGGGCTGCAGGTCACAGTGGTTTGTCAGACAGTGAGGAGTGAAGGCACCAGGGTTGGAGACATAGATGTGGTCAGTGCTAAGAGTAAGGACAGAGAGTCTTACAACTCCCTTGAAGGAAATGCAGACACATGGTATGGAGTATAACCTTGGGAAACTGGAGAGTCAGGGACAGGAGAACACACTCAAGTTCTTTTCTTTTAAAAGAAATAAATTTTCAAATTGCAGGAAGTCAAAATTGATAGATGAGTCACGCAAAAGTTCCAACTATTGTTTTCTGTACACAATCAATTTGTGTAGATACACAGATCTAGAGATAGGAATAAAGTTAGCTATAGACAGATAAATGTATATGTTGAGATATAAGCACACATATAGACAGATAAATGTATCTGTTGGTTATAAATACATATGTACATTTGTGATGACAGGAATACCTGGCTGCATTTTGCATAGGATTATCAGTGAGTTGGATTTCTTGATATTACTATAAGGTAAGATTGTTATTTTTTTATCCTTTATTAAGACTATTCCTAGCAGTTATGAAAAGTTAGATGAAGGATAAACATGACACTTATAAAAAGGTTATTAGATTAATCACCTGAGTAAATGAGTAAAACTCATTTCATGGCTAGAAGATCTACATGAATAATTTTCTGAGTGTTAGCTCAAAGAGAAAGGTTGGGGACTAGTACTTGTAAGCATCTACTT